ACTTTCGTTAAATCTGCTATAAATTCAATTTCGATTTATTTCTGTATAAACATCGCTCAGAAATTTGGCATCAAATAAAGCGATTCACTTCATCATAAGTCTTCCAGACTTGTATACAATTTTTTTAATCTGAATGAAACTTGCTTAAAAATACCTAAAATATGGAAAATGATTCCAAACTCTTGTAACAGTGATTTGGTTTTATAATATTCGATTAATGAATAAATGCTTTATAAAGCACTATATTCAAAGAGTAGGTATTGTGCACGATAGTATTCATAGTAATCTAAGAGGCTTCTCTAAGACGTATGTCGTTTGAAAAAGTAAGTATCATGTGTCATATTCTTAATACATCTTATATACCATTACATCTTATACATATCTTAAATACTCCTATTCATCAGTATTTAACTAACATAATTTATTAGGAAATACTACAGATTTATATATTCGTTATATGAGTTTTCTGGCAGACACATCGGATTTCATGACAACAAAACAATGATAACTTATAAGAAATCATCATTTTAAAAGTGAGTAAAATGAATGAAATGGTAATCTCCTGCATGTGGGGGATTTTCTTCTCATTGTAGCCTTTTAACGAAATACAATGACAGTCTTTAGAAGTGTATCTAACTCTGAAAGGCGCCACTTGTGGAGAAGTAAGGCTTACATTTAAGAAAGGTTTAAACTAAATTAATTCCGAATTATTGCTGTCCATCATATGCTTTAGTTACAATAGTGCGCTTGTTGGATCTATATTGTGTAATACTGTAGCTAAACATTAAGTCGTGATATATGGTTGTTCTTTTCTGCATTTCTCATTAGGAAGCACTTTTTCATTCTTATTTCATTCACGAAGTTCTAAATACAGCACTTCGTAGGAAATTGGGAATTAAAACTTATTGTATCTTTGTATTACCGAATGTAGTACCAGTACTCAAACATGGATGGTGAAAAGTGGGCAGTAATTACAAGCTAGGCTGTCTGACTTGTATAGTCATCATTTTTTCAAAACTTCTATAATTAGCTGTTGAGAACGATAAGTATCATGTGCTTCAAGCGGTTTAATCCCTATTCTTTAATCGCTATTCTTGAGCTCTTGTGAGTACTTATAGTTAAATACGTCGATTTAAAATTCAGCGGAATATGTGATGGGGCTTCTGATCAAGATTTAAAAAAAGATACCGAAAACGGCATGTGACTATTAAGGGTGTCTAACTATACTTAATTCCCACTACATGCACCTATCTTTAGAAGCACTTACGTGGCTTTAGAACTTTAGACTTTACGTGGCTAACTTTAGAACTTGACGTGCACTTAACTCTAAACTTTAGAACTTTACGTTAACTTAATTTTTAAACTTTAGAAGTTACCTCTACTTGGTGGCAAGTTATCGCCTCTTCTTAATGCTTACTTTAGATACAAGACTCAAAACGTAAAAAGTAACATGAAATTGTATTCTTCAAACCTTAAGGGTCTTACACTTAAAATAATACGAAGTAAGTTATTCTGCTTCTTGTTGACAGCTACTCTTTGAAACTGTGCAGTACATTAACTGGGTTACAATTCTAGTAACTCTATGTGAAGCTACATCGCTAACGAAGTCAAATAGAAAACAGAACTAACTTTCAACTCTAACCAACCGTGACAACGTCAAGCGTCCACTTCTACCCGGATGGGCGGCTGTTTAGGTAAGCAACAGCATCTGCGGTCGAAATTTCTACCCAGAATCATACCGGTTATGATTTTCTTCTCAATTTGGCCTACGATACTTGCCATAATATTTGAATTATATTCTGGACTGTGCAAGTAAGTGGAAACAAGGCACAAAGGAGAGACTCAATATGAATTTATGGAATTTTACTTGATCTGGAACTATTAAACCCATCAGACGTGAATCGAATTATCACCATGTCTAAAGTAACTCCAAGCCATTAAAAAGGTTTTAATAACCTTTTTTACTAAGCAAAAATTAGAATATAAATGCACTTTCTTGTGATAACAAAATCAACCGCAGGTCGTGAAGATGCAACTAAAGGAGCAGTCACTTTCAAGTTAAGATGTGAAATAGTACTCAAAGACTACACAATTTAAATCTTACTCTAAACTAGCTCAGTAGCAACAAGCTAGCCCAGCCCAAGATTACAACTATCAAACGTGGCAGGAACTAAACGTTCCGTGCACGCACAGCTTTGAAACACGCTAAACCCCCAAAAACCTCAGTTTAAATATTATCTAACTCATTTACATTACTGTTGAGGAAACTGAAAGGAGAAGTTAATTGTAAAGCCTGAAATTTAATAAGTGGTTAATTGAAATAATAACCTGACAAGTTAACTGTTAGTAAAGTTTGAATCAAATTTCAACATCTTACTGATACACTTACTGTATATATGAGAAATGTTGTTCGTATAAATGGATACTATGTATCAAATACTTAGATTTTTTAGCTCGTTTTCTAAATCTTTGGTATCTGAGTCGGTAGATAAGAATCTGCCTCGTGTAAATGATGACGCAGGGTCTGTAATTGTCCTTTCATATTAAGAAAATATTGTTCATGTGCGTACGTAATTTTATGTAAAGCATTTGATAATATTCCTCATTGTGAGCACGTAAGTGAGTTTTCCCTTACTTGCTAGGTAATTGAAAACTAGATTATGCGAAAATTTATAACGTAAGCGAAATTTTGGCTCATGTTTAGAAACGATTTAACATCAATGTGGCAAACACAACTTGTCGTATTTTATCACAAAATCAAAGCAGCAACGAATTAATTTTTATCATATGTTAAAAATATCATATGTTAGAAACTTGAGATTGAGAAATTGAGAGATTGAAATAAGCAGTTTTAAACAATAAAAAATAAGAATATTTAGGGTACTGTACAGTAGTAGAAATAGTAAGTAATCATGAAATGGTAAATAATTTCAGATCCTGAATGTGTAGTAAGGATAAATGCTATGTAAGGGCACATGGTATTCAGTCGAGAAGAAAAAGAGGAAAAAAAAAATCACTTAATTTGGTTAAAGAAGTCGTTGGAAGATAAAAGTCGGAAATATTCTTCCATTTGACAAGATTACTAGAATAAAGGGATATGATTCATTTAAAAACAACTTTCGATTAACTTTGAAATATTCGGGATACGTTTTAATAAACATTGTAAATATTAATTTAGAAGTCAATCAACAAAAATCACGTTATATTTGCAATTTTTCACAGGACTAGTTTCGATGGTTTTACCGAAACAGCAGCCTCAGCTACCAAAGAGCAAATGAACGAGATAAGCCATAGTGATAAGAGAAGATAAGAATGGCTGGACAGGAGTTAAGCTACTGGTGCCATCTATTGATGAAACAAGAAAAGTAAAACATAATTCACTTAGAGGCTGAAGGCAAAGATGGATTGGAATTAGGGTCGTTAACTAGAAAAGAGAGATTTTTGTTGCTTGACTTCTAAATCAATATTTGTTCGGCATGTTATTTTTACCTAAACATTGCAAATTTTGATACAAAATATCAAACAGACTGTTTTTATAAATTAATGATCTTCAGATTTATTAGAGTGTACTTAAACCGTAGTTTGCGTTTTTTCTTACGTTTGGTAAGTCGTATAACGTGAAATTTCTTTATAAAGTAATTCCACCGCGTACCTTTATTACTATGAATATTTAAGCCGTTTCACTAGCTATTTCCGATTCATCACATGTTTAGTATCCTTACATCTAAACAGTAATATGTAAACCACTGAAGAAAAGGTATTGTAATTGAACAAAAGAATTTTGAATTATAAGCTATAAAACTTTTGCCATCATCATAAATAGATGTATTTCTAAATATACCTGCAAAAACTTAGAATTTTGTATACGATTTTTTTTTTTTTTTTTACGAAAACGTTATAAGATATACGTAAATTTATATACTGGCGCTTTTTGAAATTTGGCATATTTGTTATAAGCGATAATAACGCCAGACATGGTTTACGCACTTTGTTAAAATTGTTTGAAAGAATGAACGATTGACCGTGCACTTTTAAAGGGAAAGGTAAATTGTTTGCCATAAGCAAGTAAATTATTCTTGGCGCAAACTTAAAAACGTGCACCAAGACACATTTAAAAATTTTTCGGTAAGTGTTTCATCAAATTTTACAAAATTTAATATTAGGCATAATTTGAGGGGTAGAATCGAAATATGGAAGAAATAATTATCTCATTTCACAAAAGTACGATTTTGTGTCCAAAATCTCTGCTAGAACAGTGCTATATATAAATCTAGTATATATCCTAATTTGACATGAAAAACGTAAGTTAAATTCGTCAGTCGGCCAGCCCGGGTATTACGGGAGATATAGAACTGCCCCATCCTTTTTTTTTTTTTTTTTTTTTTTTGGCAAAGGTGGACATTTTATTTCAAGTATCGTCAGTTGAACTATCAACATTCAAAAAAATGTGTACATCTCCTCCAAGGCAATTTTTTTTTTCCGGAAAGTATTTTCTGGTTGATTTTGAGTTATAGCCGAGCTCAAATTTTGTTACTTAAAATTCGATAATTTGAATTATGCAGTCATTTCTTAAACTAACGCAAAAGAGAAGAAAATCTATGTACTCGTAATTAATGAATTAATTCATAATATAATTAAAGAACGAATTTGTAAGAAGTTCATATCGTTATTTCCTTTTAACAAGCAGATAAATCTAAGTAACAAATATAAGTTAAAAATATAATATATAAAATCAAATATAACAAATATATAAATTTAACTAAGGCCATAAAATCAGGTCTATACTTTTTTACTTGTCTTGTGTCATTTATTTATTTATAACATATCTTGAAGTTACTCTGTAAGGCAGAATTTAAATTTTTGCAAGTTTCATTTGAGATATTATGTAGATTTAGTATAACATCAAGAGTAAATAATTACATTTTGTGGACATATTCATACAAGTACGTACTTTTTGCTATTTTCTAAACTCTAAATATATTCACTTGCTTCCACTATAGGATCAAGCTCTGAAAATAGAGTCTTCCAGAAATATAACAATCAACGCAAGAAACAAGGACGGTAAAATTACGAATAGGTTATCAATAGGTAAGTATTCGTTTACAATGATATTCTAGAAATTCCACTGAAAACAAATTTTAGTCATAAAGTGTCTAATAATGTGATATGGAAATGGTAAATGTAATATGCAATTGGTACTTATCATCGTGTAAGGCTTGGAATAAATACACTTTTCATAAAAATATAATCTTATCAATTGAATTCCCTTCCCTGTTTATGATTATTGTATATTACGCCAAGTGAAAACATTGAGCATTTTATGGGTTTAAATTATTACTCACTGCTAGCTTAAAATTCATCTGTAAAAAAAACCTGTATTTTGCTGTTCATTTTACGTTTTCTTTCAGAGATAATTTATCTAAAGTTTGCATTTCTTTTGTCAGAGTACTTTGAATTTAGCACTTTGAATATCAGAATTTTTTAATCAGGAGACGTGAAAAATGTGCGGTGCCCTCGACGGGACGAGAAACCTGGACTTCGCGAATACGCACTGAGTCACACTGTAGAGTCATTAGGTTAACTGGAACCTTTTTTGGAAGCAAGAAAGATGAGAAATTAGCAACCGCCTTCGCCGGGAATCGAACCACGGACCTCTGGAATACCGGCCCAGCGTGCTACCGTTACACCACGAAGGCACACTAGGAAAGGAGAGCGAAAATACCTTTTAAATTTTTTTCATTCATCTTGTGTTCTATTTTTATTTATGTCTTTTATTTTTATAGCATTTCTGAAATTTAAATGAGTATTTGTGCTACCTTTATCAGAAGATATGTTTAACAATACTTTCTAATGTTCTAAAACGGTTCGCGTCCGCATAAAACGATGAAATGTTTCCAAATAAACTTATGATACATATAAGTATTCTATCACTATTATGTGCCATTAAACTTTCGTCGGACGACTATATACTTTCCAAGTAAATGAAGGGAAAAAAATCACTTCGTAGTGCTTTACATAGCAGTACGCTTTTTTTGTGCCTTAACGGGTTGGCTAACAGGGATTTCTGTGATTTTCCGCGAGAACAATATGAATACTAGTTAGTATCCTTTGAAAGTCCTTCACGAAAGCGTCTTTCTTAAGGATCGAGCAAGATACTGCAATAAATAATCTAGCCACTCTTCAGTTATTTTTTATTTTTCATGTCCAATAATCCCTCTCTAGCCATGAAGAAACAAATGATAACTAATATGACAGAAGCAAAGTTCTAATAAAATGTACCTGTGATTTTTATTGAATATTTAATTATTATATTTTATATTTTTACAGTTATATATTAAAATTCATAAATGACTAATTTTTGTTTATGGTTTAGTTTTAAACAGCATGTTGTGTTTATGTATGTTGTGTTTATTCATTCGTTATATATGTATACGAAACGGCCAGTGTAAGAGAACACGCTGACGACAAATGAAGAGCCTTTCGTCCTGATTGTATACACTTTCTCATACCTGTAGTATCTCTTTTCTTAATATATGCGTTTTCGTTGATATGTATTTTTATTTCGTTTTATTTAACTTTTACTTGATGATGAAAATCTCTGCCATTGGTTGAGAGGGTAAAGCCGTGAGTGGAATATCGGTAGATGTTTCCGGGTTCTATTCCCGGAGGCCGAATAGGTTACCTGCATAAAGATTTCTTGATTCTCTTCGATGTAATTTGAATAGAATAATGCCTGTTTTCCTCAGAAGGTGCTCCCTCATTTTAGGCAGATAGTCCTCGCATTCTTTGCCATAATTAATAAATCCAAGTCTCTATACACTATAATTTATTTTTTAATTATCTCTGTTATGTAGATTGGTGCATGGAGTAATTAAAAATTTAGAACGTAAGTACGTTGATTGCATGTAAAATACCGAATGTAAATGCGCGGGTATAAATGTACTTGCAAGAGCTTATGGATTCATTTTAATATATAAATTAATAAGTATAAACTGAAGATAAAATAATCTCAAACGTGAAGTTGTTTCATAATAAATGAATCATATTCCTGAAGATGCATATTAGGTAAAAATATATACTTTTAATCTTTTGCAATCTTAAGTTAATATTTAATTAAAGTGGACGATATAAATATAATAATAATAATAACTAAATACGCACACATCTGAAATTTGAAAGACAGGTGGCGATAATCGGATATTTTCTATAGATATATATTAGACTATATGAATGAGTATCGACATTTAATATATTATAAGGTATTTCTTCCGCCTTCTTGGAATGCCTTCGTGGTATGATAGTCTGCACGCTGGGAACGTATTCCAGAAGTCCACGGTTCGATCCCTGGCGAAAGCGTTGCTAATTTTTCATCTTTCCTGCTTCCAATTAACCTAATGTCTCTACAATATATTGACTACTTACGAATATTTATGTCGCTAATTTACGATTTCGTTGAATACCTGAAAGCAGGTATAATGTACGTGTAAACATAAATAATGTAATAATTGTTTTATTTATTCTGTTATGTGACTCCTACTTCTTTTATAAGAATAATTCTCTACAGAAAAATAAGATTAAGTTTCTTTCTGTTTGACTCATTCTGCAGTGTAAGTGAGATCGTAGATTTCAAGCTCTTTTCATGTAAAAACTATGATCTCTGTTTTCTTTTCATCTTCGATGATTTATTAAACACATTATGACTGGTTTATAAACTTCTGTTAGGATAAAAAAATCTAATATCTAACTTTGGTAGTCTGCGTTTAAATATTGTGTAGTTTTTTGAGATTCCCTCTATCTTTTTAAAAACTTTCGCAATTTTTTGTTATTGCAGTTTAATATCAATATTTTCAATCATTTAGTCAAGGAGCTCATAAAAATGAAAATATTTGTTCAAATACATAGCAATAGGTTTTTAATGTGTCTAAAAAGCTGCATGTGAGTCTGGAAACTCTAAAGGCTTTCATTCAGGACCCGTCACAATGTAAAAGAATCATCATGAATGGCTATCTCTGAAATTATATTTTCATTTAAATATTCTAAAATTATATTTCTACAAAATACATCTTAATGTAATTAATATTAGAAATACATGGATTTGATTGCGTAATTTACTGTAAAAGCAGTCTGTGATTAATATTATTAAATGTATAAGCTATAAACTCATATAAACTAATGCGAAAATGATAAATTATATTATTTTATTTTTATATTTTGTTTAAATTAACCACATAAGTATTAAATTTTTATTAATATTTGATTTATCTTATCTGTACATTAACAAAACGATATTAAACCAACTGATCTCCTAATCTGCAATACACTCTTCTTATCTTTTACACCATTAAAATTCCTTTACATAGAACACGATTTTGTTTATTTTCTTCATTATAAAATCTTGAGGCCTGCCTTTGGGTAATGAAATAATCTTTGACCTCAAAATAATATATTTTAATTAATTAATTTTTTATTATTCGAAGAGTCTCGACTAGTTTGAAATCTGCAAAATTGTCTGAAAGCACATTTTTAAAACGTGCGTATGACATGTAAATTAAAATTCTGCCTTTTTTCAGAGTAATTTGCATAGTACTGTGGTTTGTGTTCACTTCATAAAATTAAGCTATATTTCTTTGTTGATGATTAAAGCAGATCATATTAAATATACATAAAATTTATGCTCTCATAAGCTGTTTACTTTAAGCAAATGCTATTGCCTTTTGGGGGGGGGTGTTCATGCATTTAGTTCGATATCTGTTCGTTATTTCAATTATAATTCTTCTTTTTGCATGTGATTCCTTTTCGGAAGTCTATTTCAATTTTTCTCTATATTTTTATTCATATTATATTCATCCTTGTGATATGATATAAACCTCAGTAATCAAACATTTAATGAAATATCCTAATTACTGAATAGTTATTAAATATAACGTTTTACATATTTTACCTATGCAATCAAGTAAAAAGTCTGTCATAAAATTTTAAAAGAGCTTGATAAATAATTTTCTCAGAATATTTAATAAAAAATTTCGGTAAAATAATGATAGTATTTTTAATAGAAAGCTTTTAGTTTTATATTATCAAATGATTAATCCAAAATCTAAGTCTGAAGTTAGAATCCATGAACCAAAATTCTTCTTGAAGTCAGTATTCATTATTTAATTAATTATTTATAATATTGTAGAGTCATTAGTTAATTGGAAGCAGGGAAGATGAAAAATAGCAATCGCCTTCGAGGGGAATCGACCACGGCCCTATGAATACCGGCCATCGTGCTACGTTACACACGAGGACACGCTAGGGAAATGGGAGAAATACCTTATTACTCCCCTTTTTAAAGGGGCGACTAGGGTTTTAGAGACTAGTCGCCAAATCCTGGGTACGGAGAATATCGTCCACAACCATTTAGTTAGGGCGCCACTGTAGCATCATTAGGATTTTTTTTTTTTTAGTGGAAGCAGAAGATGAGAAATAGCAACCGCCTCGCCGGGAATCGAAACAGGGACCTCTGGAATACCGCAGCATGTACCGTTACACCACTAAGGCACGCTAGGGAAGCGGGAGAAAACCCTACATACTCCCTTTTTAAGGGCGACTAGGATTTTAGGGGACCTTGTCGCAAACCAGGGTGCGGAATATCATCCCACCCTTTGTTGGGCCGCCACTTGTAGAGTCATTAGGTGTTGGACGCAGAAAAGATGAAAAATACCCGCCTTCGCCGGGAATCGAACCACGGACCTCTGGAATACCGGCCCAGCATGCCACCGTTACACCACGAAGGCACGCTAGGGAGGTGGGAGAAATAACTTATAATATATCAAAATATTATATATCAAATATAACCTTAAATATATCAAATACAGCCTTAAATTTTAATATTAAAGATGAAGTTACATCATTTTATTCTTTGTAAGTTATAGGCATAGCATGTAGTCTAAATCTAATATTTGAATATGAAAGATCTTATTTACCTTCTTCAATATTTCTGATACAATCTGCTCACCCTGCATCTAGTGAAACAAGAATATCTATTACACCTCTTTCTTACATTCTGATCTTATTTAAATACTCCAATTTTAAAATAGTTTCTTTAA